CGGTGCTATTATCTACGGAGCCCTCCGTGGCTGTTAGTCGAATTAGTCTCATCAACCCGTGTGCTTCAACCCCTTCGTCACGTATTGTCTCGTTTCTCGTTGCTCCGCGATAAAATACTATCGTTGTTTCTCTTACTCGTGAAACGCTCGCCGCGCTAATTAGGACAGGTTTTCGTCGAATAATGTACAAGGTGTTCCTTGTCGCCAGAAGGGACGATCGCGCTGGGTGTCGACGGGAAGAAATCATTTTGGGGACGGCAGAACCGACGAGGATAACGCTAGAAACGGGGAAAACTATCGCGATAACCTGGCAGTTGTTTATACTAGCGATGAGACCAATTCAACGACCTACTCGTTAACTCTTAACACGTTCACTGCCACACCAAATCACTTTAATTGTCCACAAAACTGTAACTTTGTTTCTAGTGATAGAAATTATTTTTATAGTCTCGTTAAAACTCAAGAGTTCTATCTAGATTTGCCTTTTTTAACATCTAATCTTGTGAATTAATTCTTTTAGTTTTTTTTTTATACGTTCATTGCCAGAACAAACCTCTCAAATTGTTCGCAAGACTGTAACTTTATTTTTAGTCATACAACTTACTTTTATAGTTTCGTCAAAACTCAAGAGTTCTATCTAGATTTGCTTTTTTTAACATCTAATCTTGAGAATTAATTTTTTACCTTTTTTTGATAAGTTAAATAGTAGTTGTTTTGGAAAAAAATTTTGACAAATTTTGGTCTTGTAAGATATTAAGGAACATTCCATAAAAATGGAAAGACATATTTAACCCATTAATGACTAAACAACGACTAATTATTGAAGTGTCAAATGAATTGGAACAATAAACAATTCCAAATTAAATTTCACATACACATCGTTCGAATAAAATTTACATTTAAAAAAATTTGACATCTTTGAAAATTTGTTATAATTTTCCAGAAAAAGTTGTACAAAGTATCCGTGATAAAATTAATAATTAATCGATAGAAACTTGGGTTGAATATAGCCAACTACTTTTATACTTATCTTACTTGTTGAAATTTCTTGTAGCATTGATAAGATTTAGACACCCAGTATCATCGAGACTTCGAATAACTGATCTAGTATCATAGTTTGACATTATTAAAGTAACATTGAATATATATTTATCCAGATAATAATTTGAATAAAATTCGCTAGCAACGAATAGAAAGTTGATTTGAACAAACATTAATGCTTGGTTTACTTCTACGAATTGTAAACACATCTCAGACTTGATATGATCGATTATAGATACAATTGTACGTCTTGATAGGTATGAAATCGCTTGATTCGATGGGTCTTTAGATGATTACGTAAGTCTTGATACGTCCTTAATGTGGCAACAGTATTAAAAGTATATATATATTAAAAATTGTTAAAAAAGTAACGATCATAGCTGTCGTTGCAAAGTAAAATTGATTAGTTTGGACTGCCTCGTGAAGGTTAAATATTTATTGAAAATGATGGACGATCCAACGAGAAATGTATTGGAAACAGTTCACAAATATAATATAATGTTTGATAGTCGCCTGAAAAGATTGTTGAGAGTATCGTAAAAATTTCCACGGCCATACTAAAGAATCTTGGCCATAATTCCAAGCTCGATTGTCGAGTACCAGAGCGTGTACGATCAAAACGGATAAACTGGATCGAGCATGAGGTTGCAATTTTTTGTTCAGCCGTTCGAATAGAGATCCATTTTTGGATCGTCTAATTAACAGTGATGAAAAATGGAACCAGTCAACAATATTCAGCGGAGGTGGACTTGGAAACGAGCGAATGAACCCGGTCAAGCAACTCTAAAAGCTGGCTTGCATCCATTAAAACGTGTAGGTTGTGTGCGTTTGGTGAGATTGCAAGGTGATCATATTTCACGAATCGTTGCCAACCAATTAAACGATCAATTCGGATAAGCGTTGTCATCGATTGGATCGTCTGAAACGAGCTATAAAACATAAATGTCCAGCTAAAACCGACGACGCCTAGACTCACTTTGATACAATCTCGAAAGACACTGAAAGGTGGCATTTTTCTCCAAAATTCGCTTCATTCGGTTATTTTTTATTCGATCTTTGCAAAATGGGTTGAAAAAACTAAGGAAAACTACTGTAAAATGGGATTATAGTCCCTTCTTGCAATTTGTGACCGTTGGGCTTTGTGTGGAAATGTTTGATAGACGTGAACAATGATGGTGGTGATTCTAAGCCACACTGAATATAAAATACCTAAGGAAAATTATCGTTAAATGGGATTATAGCTCCTTCTTCCAATTTGAGACCGTTGGACGTTATGTGGAAATGTTTAAGAGACATAAAATAGGCAGGAGACGAATGTAAAATTTAAAAAATGATCTGTTATTCTTTCGAGCTCCAAAACATATTAATGGTGAAATAAAATACCGAGTTTGTCAACGTTTGAGGAGATTACAAATAGGAACTAAATACGATTTTTTATCATAATATCAGAAGTAAAAGACACCCAAGATGCAAACGTTTGAGTTGAAATTTGTTAGAAAAATAGGAAAATTTATTCCGAATTAAAATACAAATTATTATGAAATGCTTTTACATGGTTGTAAAATCCAGGAACAAGAAAAGACTCTCAGTCGACGTAAAGTAAAAGAGTGTTGCAAGCTATCCCGTTCGACTAAATAAATAATTTCTCGATCATTAGCAACGTGTATTTAGACTTTATCCAATCGACGAACGACGTCACCGATACTATTCTATCGATACGGTTGGAAATTGCGCCAGGTCCCATCGCTAGTTTCGCGTAATTAATATTTAACTGCAGGCCTGGTGGTTGCGTGCGTCAGAGGAATTCGTGCTTATACTCGAAACGGAAGTTGTATCGTTTGCGAAAAAGGCTAATCACGGCAGATTCATTTATTTCTACCGCGATACGAAAGAAAACGTTTTGCGTCGACTTGCAGAGGCAGTGCCTGGCCAGCCGCCATTATGAATATACGCGGCGCGAATAGCGTTCGGTTGGCCCGTCGCGTAATTAGCTCATTGACTGCATCGTGAACTCATCGAAGATTAAACACGAGTTACATGCTCGTTACAGAGCTCCTCCGTTTGATACAGCCCGTCTCTTCCCATGCATAATTACGTATTTTGAAGTAACGAGGGCCTGAGAGAGAGAGAGAGAGAGAGAGAGAGAGAGAGAGAGAGAGAGAAAACCGTCTTGGCCGACACGCTTTTTCGTGACGTACCATTCCAGGGCCAAACAGGCTGTTCCACGTACTAATTCCCTTCCCGTCGACACGAATCACGGTTTTTTTGCGGCAATTATTGGAAAAGTGGCCGGGGAATCGAAAGGAATCAAGATCGATCGTTAATCGAATGCACCAAGATGTTAGGCTCGCCAGATCAACCCTTATCCGCCATCTTTTCAGTTTATCCTCATCTCTTTCGCCGACTGGTCTCCATTATCTATTTACCAATGTCGGTAATTTTTGTTTCCTCGAGGAAAGATTGTTACGATGGTAATTTAGGTCTGAAATTTACCAATCTGGAACTTTGTTTGGAGTCTTGGAATTGTAGTTAAATGTGGAAGACGTTTGCACATCAGAAACACTGTACAAACTTTTACGTTTCTATGCACAGCTCTGTGATTGACATAGGATTTCATATCACTTGAATGGCAGAGGAAATTGTAGCCTTGTTAATATATTTTATAAAGAAATAATTATGCAAAATATAATTGTTAAAGACTTTTACATATTAAAAATATAGATATTCGATTGCCATAACTCTTTGCACTATTGTGTGTAATTTAATTCATTATTTAAAAAAATCTTAGAAAAGACTTTTTCTTCTAATTAACATGCCACATAGACTATTCTTTTTTACTTACTATCAGCATATGCATAGAAACACTATGCAATCTTGTATTGAAGTAGTTCATTCTACTACAAAACCGTCTGCTTCAATTTTTTTTGCAAAATAATTATTGGACCAATTATTTTATAAAACACAGGAGTACTTTTAAAGACGTTTAAAATTTGAACACAATGGCCACAAAACTGTAGCGTGCAAAGGGTTACAATTTAAAACATATGCTTTAATTCCTCGTGCAATTCTTTGAGATGAGTCTTTATAGCATACTTTACTGTATAAAGTATCAGAACTTGACTACAGCCGGAATATATTTCAGAAATTAATATAACAATTTTAATATTTAATTTTGTACGAGTAGATACAAGATATGTAAGATATCGAATATGAAAAATACCCTGGTTTGCGAATTGCTATAACTGTTTATGAGCATTTAAGTGGTACCAGAGTTGGGCAAATAAAATTTTTAGATTCAATCTAAAACTAGACTTCAATTGAAACATAATGTTTGACCCTTAATTGGACTCTCAATTTAAACTAAATTATTTTACTTAATGTTGATTCTTATCAAATTGGTAAATGGGAATTAACTTTCCTTTAAAACATTTAAACAACAATGAACTAATGGAGGATTACATAAATTTTCAAATAATTACATTGATATATATTAAAAAATTATTATTTTAAACTTGCGGAGGGCCGCAGCGGCCCCCATAATCCACTTAAGGGTTAAACATCAATTGATGAATTTTAATTTACGGATGTCTTTACAAATGAAACATAAATGGACGTTTTTATAAAGGAATCTAAAATTTGTATTCCTTAATCGCGAATAAAATCAGCCCAACTCTGGTACCGGCGTCTGCAACGTCGACTCAAACGCTTCCAAACCAATTAAAATTATTCAACATAATAGGAAAACCACGAACAATTACAAAGTCGAATAAACATTGATCTTAGATTCCCTTCGTTTCCGTAGCACCGGCGTAACGAACACCGAAAGTTCCCCGCGCAATCGTCGTTCATGAATGTGTAGTAATGTCGTAAATCGTAACGTAGCATGAATACTATGTACACGTAAGTTTACAATGATTCCCGGGATAGGGGTCGAAGCGACCGGAAGCGAATGGAGCCTCTCACATGGCCAGGCCCTCGATCGAGGCCACCGGGGTGGTCGGCTGTATAGTTTCCGGCGTATCGAACCTGTCGGTGTCGTCTGGATCGTCCTCGAGCGACCTAGACTCGTCCTCCGTCGGCCTGAACGTCGTCGACGTGCCTTCGATCGAGGTGGCCAAGGTCGAATCTATCGTGGTAGTCGCGTGTTCGTTCGAAAGTGTCGAAGACGGTTCTTCGTCGATGGGTGAGGAAAACTCGGACAACGACCTCGAGGCGTCCTCGAAGGAGGTGCGAGAGGATCGATCGGAAACGGTCTCAGGAACTTTGACGGTCGCTGGTTGAGTGGTTCGGTCGGGGATTATGGTCGTCGTGTCGTACGCGTTCGCGACAGAGCCACGGTCTATCGTCTTGGTACGATTTCTCGCGAATGATTTCCCTACTCGGCGAGGTGCCGCGTTGTTCGCGGCGGCGAACTTGTTCCTCGCGGAGGACGGTTGCTTGGTCCTGCGTTTAGGGGAGGCTCCTCTCCCTGAAGGGCCGGTTGACGCACCAGGAGACCACCAAGAGGAGGATGACGTTGCGTAGGTCGGTACGGAGGTTGCCGTGCGCGCCGCATACGTGTTGTCCGTTCTGCCATTGAACCTCTTGCGGCCCAGAGCCTCTGGCTTCCTCCTCGCCGGCGGTCCCTTTTTCTTTTTCTTCTTCCCGTCCGTCAAATTAGGCTTTTTACTCTGACTCATGCTGCCAGCGACGCTTACTTTGTTTGCATTTGACGCTGGTGGTTTGCTCTTACCGTTGCTCCCGGTGACGTTCCGTCCGTCGATCGTCTCGTCTACCCGCAGCTTCCGCTTCTTGGACGGGACCGACAGGGCCTCCCTTCGACAGGCCTCGTCGCTCGCCGCGCCCTCGCAGGATCTCTTCGACTCCGGGGAAGTACCGTTCGAGCGCTGACCCTCGCTTCTGGGCCCCTCGAGCTCCACTATCTCCTCGACGATTTGGCACTGCGGTCCGGGCTTCTCGCCCGGTTTGCACCGTCGCTTCCTCTTCTTCCTCTTCTTTCGTTTGCGACACCTGAACTTGTCTCTGCCGTCCTTTTCCTGGACAGGAAGAGTGGGGCAGAGCGACTGTTGTATCAGGTCCCCTCGATGGCTGTTGTGTCGATGTCGGACATTGTGATGGGCGCCCAACATCCGCCTTTGAAGCGACTCTACTCGCTCCAACGGAGCGACCTGAGTCAACACTCTCGCGTAGGCGGACAGTCTGCCCAGGTTGTGACCCTTGGCCTGTACCCTCCTCGGCTGGCCGCGACGATTCAGACCGAGGTACAGGGTCTTCTTCGTCGTCGACCATTTCGCCGAACTGTACGTGTTGTAGTTGTGCTGCTCGAGGGTCTCGTTGAACACGCAGTCGTCTGTGTAGTCGCGCTGCAACAGAAAATTTACTCCGGTCACTTTCTCGACACTCATTTTTAGGGTTTTTGTTGGATTATTAATAAATAATCGTTTACAAAACTGAATCTAACAGTCAGAAACACTGTCCATTGTCTGCATACGAAGGTCGTATTGACACCATCGGGCCTAGGGGCTTGGGTCTATTTTGTCGTCGAGGGCCACGGAAATAAACATGGTGCAGGCAATGGTTTCTTTCTTTTTTTAAGTGGACGCCAGATTTTCCTTTAGGGGATGTAAGCGTACTAAAAGAGTATTGCTTTTTCACCCAATTCCAATAGCTTTCATAAGCGTCAACAGTACCAAATCCTTTCTAACGCGATTTTAGGCCTCGCGGGTTAAGGGGAGAAATTGCTGTGACGGATTGAAAAAATTGAAATTTTTGTTATCTCTTTTTAATGTTTGAGGGGTTAAGAATGATCCCCTAAAATATTAAAGTAAAATTCGCAACAATGACAAAGTTACAGAAGATTTAGTAGATGCAGGAAATCTAATACGCGTAACGCTTGAAACTACGGGGGCGCATTGAAAAGTTTCCGGAATAGTCATCAGGAGTTTCTTTATTTATAGCTGGTTTCATGTTGTTATGTTAATACATCTTTAATGAGTATTCACTCCAAATATTAAAACAATCTATCAAATAGTCTAGCTTTTACAAGTATTTGTGTCGCGCTACTTTACGCTTTTTACGAAATGGATAGAACCAAAATTCGAGTGGTTATCAAATTCTTTCATTTGGAAGGAAAAATTGTAACAGAAATATATATACATATACATTTAGTATATTTATGTTGAAAAAATAAAGTATAATTTAAAACAGATTTATTTCGTTTTCATTGTCATTCCGGAAACTTTTCAATCTGCCCTCGTAACTGCTCTTTACTTCGGGATATTTATTTGAAATTCTTTTATTATTTCTGCTGCGGTAAAGGTTTCATATGAATGGGAAGTGTTTTGATTAAAATAACTATATGAATCAAGAGTATTTAGTCTACATATACACGACCAAAGTTCTCCAACTGGCAACTTATTTAGTTGTAATCCAATTTAACGATGGCTATTCACGATTATTGTAAATAATGAAGGTCCTCGATATTGAAATTGGACATTGGACAACACAAACAGGCCACGCTTCGCTTTTCCGCTGCTGAGGGAAAACACAAAACAACAACGGATGACGTTCCGTTAAAGGAAGAAGGAGATATAAATGAAGGAGATGAGGATGATCTTTCTACATAGGATACGTTTTAGGGTTCTAAAATGGATGCCCTTTAGAAAGTTTAAAAACTCCGACGTTATTTCATATATCATTTGGTGCAAATCTTTAAACGCATTTTTCTCAAAACCACATTTTTCCAACTAGGCGACTCAATAACTCAGTCAATTTCCATCCGATTTATTTAAAATTTTGTATGGTGATTCCTGATACTATTCTCTTCACTTGCACGTACGAAATTTTCGATTGCACAATTGGTTTCGACATGGTGTTAAAAGAAGTATTGATTTTGTCACAGTTTTTTGAGATTTTTCCTTCAAAGTTCGACTATTTTATAATAAATAATTATTTTTAAAAATCCGTACGCGCAACTGAAGTTACTCTGTCGTACAGTTTAAGAAAATTGCATGATTGCTTGTTAGTTCTCACCACAGACGAGGTATACGAGTAGACCTTACATTCAATGTATTTTTTTGGCCCATTTTTCTGGGCCCCAGAGCTCCATTAATATGTACGTATTGTTTGAATTTTGAATCATTAAATTCCTTCAATCCGCCCAGAAGTTATGATCTTTTAAACATACGCATGAAATTCGGGAGAAACATTTCTGGCCTGAAATTATATTTTCGGTATGGAATTTTTTTTCTCCAAAATTCGTAGGATTTCAGGGGTATCTGTAATGACCAAAAGTAATTGTAATCGACGACTGCAACCGAAAATAATTGTTTTAGAAAAATTTGAAATTTTTTAATTTTGTCAAAAAATTTGTCCACCTACTGAATTTTTTTCTCAAAAGTGCGTATAATTTCGCGGTATGTCTATTTACCAAAAATGATTGTAATTGACTCTCGCAACCAAAATAATTTTTTCAGAATGTTTTGAAATTTTTTAATTTAATTTTTTAATAACTTTTTAACGAAGCCTCAATCAAGAAATTGATATCCTTGATTTTCGTTTTATTTTGCCCTGTAGAATCTACTGACAATTGAATGTGTAGTATTACTGATTCGTATACTGTTTATATTATCTATACCTCTGTATTGCTTTCGTAACTAGGTATTACATGTTCCTTAATATTAAAGAAACTAAAAAAAACCTACTTCGTAAATAGAAGTAACACAATGTAATGAACAACATTTGGTAAAAATAAATGGAAATTCGGTATGAAATGACACGTTTCTTTTCATTTATAGTGGATCACCATAGTGTTTGGATACAAGTGGAGGGGTTGTCCAAGATTCACGGACGATTTATCGCCTGAAGAATGGCAGATAACTCCAGGCACGTATGTAGCGGATTACCGTTTCCAAAAGGGAAAAAGGGGAGCTCATTCCGCAAACCAGTAATACATACACCGTATGCTGAAAAGGACGAATCTGCTGTTTTAAAGTGCAATAAGAGCACTCTGGATTGTGTACAGACGATAAACTGATATTAGAGTGGGTGTTGCAATAAAATAATAAATAAGTGAACTGTTTAAACTTGTTCCTTCCTATTTGGATGGACTATGGACCCTGGTCATTGAATATATGACACTTTGGACCTAACATACACATCCAGAAGATCCCAGATGCTTTCGAAGCCCACAGTTCCATAAAAGAAACTCCATAACGCCGGCAAACAAGCAACCTAATAAAAAGCCCGAAAACGAGAGTAACGCGTTCGAAATCGCGCGTCATTCGGCATAATGGAAGGATATCTCGAGAAAATTCCGAGAAGCTACCAAGGATTCAGCGATCGTTATCAATTCCGCGCGCCTATTATTCGTCATTATCACGTTGTAATTGCACGGCTAAGCCCGTTGGCCGGCGAGGCAGAGCAGCGTCTGTTTCCCTGTTTAACACGCAATTCTGTTTCGCTGGGAGGCACGCGAAACGGGGCTAACCTGCCGCCGCAAAATATTAACGACACTTCCCCGATGGAAGCTTCGAGCATTAAGCATAACGCGAAACCAGCCCCGGCCCGACCGGCGGAGTCTGCAACACCGAGCATTATGCTTTCGCTAGCGTTGCGTCGCGCCGCGCCGCGCTATGATTTCGCTGTCCGCTTTATGGTAACTCGTTTCTAGACGAACGGAAGCGGCCGCGGTCTTCATCGGCTCTAATTACAGCGTTTAAACGCATCCACTGAACGCTGAAAAATACCCCGACGAACGCGAAAGACGCGAAGCGTAAAAGATACGCGGCGAAATGAAAAACCGCCTTTACGATGCCGAAACCTGAACCCGTAGCTTTTCATGCGTATGGAATGAAAAACTTGTAACGTGCGTTTTCTTATTCTTCGACCGAATTGTCACTTATTTTCCAAACGAATATCGAAACGATGAGTTTTATTGTTTGTTAAAAAGAAAAGACTGTATGCGGGCTTGTGGAACTCCCAGAAGGCGTGTCGGGGACTCAGAGTGCTAATAGAGGGGCAGTAAACAGGTGGGAACGCCAAGAGGTTTATGCGTAAACGACTTCGACGTTACTTGAAAAATAAATTAAAGTTTTGAACGATATTATTTTTAATTGAAGGTACTCATGTGAGCCGGACCAAAATTCAATTAGGCAGAGAACGTATCTACGTATACGGGGTTAATGTAGTATTAGTATTCATTAGGATGCTACGTTCGCAGAATTTACATTAATCGACGATGTTTACTTCGAGAATGCGGACACAATTATAGGAAGTTCGGTCGGTAACCCTTTGAGCCAGTGATTGTATTACCGGCAAATCGGTCTGTCGGTAATTCTAAATAAATAGATTTAAAGACTTACCGGCAATTCGTCTCTTTTTTATCGACAATCAAATGGGTTACATTTAGGAATAGAGTTCGTATATGCGTTTTATATTTTCCTTACACAATTAAAACATGGAAGAACGAAATAGTTGTCAGATTTATTGTACAATGTACGTGTGTAATTAAGGTTTAACGTAGAGTGAAATATTTTATTTCTCTTTGATCGAAAATTGATGGAACCAGTAGTTTTAATCTCGAACGTAATGTCGAAACGAAAATGAAAAGCAGAAGTAGAGAAAGAAGAAGCGTTTCCGTAAACTGCTCCACGGATGTGAATGATCTTCCAAGAAGCAAAATTTCCGCCATTATAAAAATCCCCATCGTGCTGGAAACGTTGCAGTTCTTAGACGATGCAAATTTGTGGAGAACAGGTTTACACAAGGCGTGTAATTAGGATACACGCGAGATAGGTAATCTTCCGGAACAAGATGTGATTACAGCGAGTTTAGAAATGTTGTGGATCAGTTACTGACAAACGATCAGAATCTTCAATTATAAGCACTTGAGGTGGTCAAACCTTCTTTCGTCTGTCGAACATTTAAGGAAATCTTACTTTAATTTAGCGTTCCTCAAACATAGAACATTTTTTAGTTTATATAGTTCGTATTCAGATATACAGAGTGTTTCACATTTTTCCGTACACACTTCAGCAGTGCGTTCTACAAGTAAAAATAAGACTAAAATGTAATATAACAAAAGATTCATGCCATTGCCATATTGTATTTCCAATTTTTCAGATAATACACCGTTCGCCTTAACTTGAATTAATCTATTGCTTATAAAATTAGCTATGAAATGTAACATTTCTCCATCCACCCTGTTGTCGGCCAGGATTTTGATAACTCTATCTTTCCAAACCATGTCATATGCCTTTTTTATATCTAAACTAATAGCGATTAAGTGTTGCTTAGTAATAAAAGCATTACAGATTAATGTTTCCATGTTTACAGGATAATCTGTTGTATTTCTATATTTTCT